ATGAAAAATGGTATTCATGCACAGAAAGTGTGGGAAGAATGTTTGTTTTTTTGTTTTAAGGAAATTGACAAGAAAAAGAGAGATTGTTTTGTTGATCCTTAAAGTGAAGTTTACTGTGATGCTGCGCTTCGATGGTGTTATGGTTGGTCCCCCTCACCAGGAGGGTGAGGGAGAACTGAGGTAGTACTCAAGTGTGCTGACCCAGGTGCTAGTGAGAAAAAGGTGCTTTAATTGAGAAATACAAAGTAACAAAAATAACGTATCATAGTCCATGTACATATACAAGCAAAGTAGGGCAGAGATGGTGGAGGACACCAGGACAAACAGGTGAGTAAAACGGACTAACGGCAGGAACCAGGAGTAGGAGGATGAAGACGGACAGGTACAAATAAGAGACAAACATGCCGACATCAACACGCAGAGTCTGTCAGCATTGATGCCAGTTACATATAGCCAAACACACCAGTTCTACGTACTTCACACGGATAAAAATTTTGTGTTGCGCACAACAGTGCCGCAGTGGAATCTGCCTCTGGTTTTACGCGTGCTCAGCGGGCCTCCTTTTGAGCCCATGGCACACATCTTTCTCAAACATCTCTCCCTGAAAACAGCGCTCCTCCTAGCCTTGACTTCAGCTAAGCGCGTGGGCGATCTGTGTGCACTGTCTGTCTCACCGGCATGCCTCCTTATCCGTGGAGACGGTAGCGCGGCCATTCTCAGACCGAACCCCACGTATCCACCTAAATTAATCTCATCCTCTTACCGATGCAGAGTTATTTCTCTGGATGGGTTCTTCACTCCTCCTCACGGAAACGAGGCAGAGAGGAACCTCCACGCCCTCTGCCCGGTGTGTGCTTTGTCCCATTATGTGGGGACAATTCTAGAGCCCATTCTACACGAGCCTTCGCGTCCTCCACTGCCCTTCTTAGAGGCATGGCTGTGGAAGATATATGCACGGCAGCCTCCTGGGCTTCCCCTTGTCCCTTCCCCCGTTTTTACCTCCGGGATACATCCAAGTTCTCACTGGCTCACTCGGTCCTGAGTATCGTGCGCGACGGTGAGCCCCTTCCCCATCGTGCCACCACCGCTGAGCGCTGACCCTGGGTCACTCGCTCAGGCGGAAAAATGAACAGCCAAACTCCAACCAGTCTGATCGCTGTGCGCTGGTGCGGTGTGTGTGCCCTGCTACACTCACACACTCCATGCGCCCCAATGGTCATCTTTTCTGTGATGCGCCCACGGGTGCTTGTTCTTTTCGCTGTGCGCTGCGCACTGGTGGGATGTGTGCTCTGCTTCATTCACACACACACCCCATGCACTCCCCATTGCACCTGTGCCTACTTGGATGCGCCCACAGGCGCCTGTTTTTTGCCACACGCTGTTTGAGGCATGTATGTCTCATTATCCAACATGCTATCCAGCCGCCCCGCCTTGCACTCCCCCGTGGCTGCTTGGCTAGTGTCGTGGGGTGCTTGGCGAGCTGGAACAACAGATGTAAGGTTGGTCTGTGACTTGAATGTAATACAGTACAGCACAAATGGACAGACAGGAATAAAATAGCTGTTTTTGGTGTAGTGGTACAACTTGAATAGTCTCTGCGAGGTGTGCTTAGTACAAAGTCTCACTTTACTGTTTTAGCAGATGTTGCTGTTTGATGGATGATAGTTGTGTGGAAGTCCAAAGTCACCAAAACGTTTTGAGGTGCACAAACTACATTTTAAGTGTTACTCAGTTTGCTACTCAGCGTTGGAGAGCATGCAGGCGCATGTTTGGAAGAGCAGAATCAGATTTGAGAGTGTACACTTGGCAATGTGCACGCTCATATTTCTCTATATATTCTGTCCTCTCTCTCAAATCTGAGTCTGCTCTTACGAATCCGTTCCCTGTGCTCTCAATCTATGATTTGCAACCTGAAGAGTGCTCGCGGCTTGTTTTGTGCACCTTCAAAACCTCTGGCTCTGACTGACTGTCACATGAGCCCCAGTGGAGAAATAATAGTGCAAACTCAGAAATGAATTCATGCACACATGGCCGGGGATATGCTCTCAAACCTGACTCTGCTCTTACAAATCTGTGTTTGTGCACTCTCAAATGCTGGGTTGCAAACTGAGTGGTGCTCACTGTGGTTTGGATGGGGATGTACAGTGGTGTGAAAAAGTGTTTGCCCCCTTACTGCTTTCTTATCTTTTTGCATGTTTGTCACACTGTAATGTTTCAGATCATCAAACAAATTTAAATATTAGTCAACGATAACACAAGTAAACACATCATGCAGTTTTTAAATGAAGGTTTTTATTATTAAGGGAAAACAAAATCCAAAACTATATAGCCCTGTGTGAACAAGTGTTTGCCCCCCTGTCAAAACACTGGTTTATCGCACCTGAGTTCAATTTCTCTAGCCACACCCAGGCCTGATTACTGCCACACCTGTTCGCAATCAAGAAATCACTTAAATAGGACCTGCCTGACAAAGTGAAGTAGACCAAAAGATCCTCAAAAGCTAGACATCATGCCGAGATCCAAAGAAATTCAAAAACAAATGAGAAAGAGAATAATGGAGCTCTATCAGTCCGGAAAAGGTTATAAAGCCATTTCTAAAGCTTTGGGACTGCAGCGAACCACAGTGAGAGCCATTATCCACAAATGGCGAAAACATGGAACAGTGGAGAACCTTCCCAGGAGTGGCCGGCCGACCAAAATTACCCCAAGAGCGCAGCGACAACTCATCCAAGAGGTCACAAAAGACCCCACAACAACATCCAAAGAACTGCAGGCCTCACTTGCCTCAGTTAAGGTGAGTGTTCATGACTCCACCATAAGAAAGAGACTGGGCAAAAATGGTTTGCATGGCAGAGTTCCAAGACGAAAACCACTGCTGAGCAAAAAGAACATAAAGGCTTGTCTCAGTTTTGCCAGAAAACATCTTGATGATCCCCAAGACTTTTGGGATAATACTCTGTGGCCAGACGAGACAAAAGTTGAACTTTTTGGAAGGTGTGTGTCCCATTATGTGTGGCGTAAAAGTAACACCGCATTTCAGAACAAGAACATCATACCAACAGTAAAATATGGTGGTGGTAGTGTGATGGTCTGGGGCTGTTTTGCTGCTTCAGGCCCTGGAAGACTTGCTGTGATAAATGGAACCATGAATTCTGCTGTGTACCAAAATATCCTGAAGGAGAATGTCCGGCCATCCGTTTGTGACCTCAAGCTGAAGCGAACTTGGGTTCTGCAGCAGGACAATGATCCAAAGCACACCAGCAAGTCCACTTCTGAATGGCTAAAGAAAACCAAAATGAAGACTTTGGAGTGGCCTAGTCAAAGTCCTGACCTGAATCCAATTGAGATGCTGTGGCATGACCTTAAAAAGGCGGTTCATGCCCGAAAACCCTCCAATGTGGCTGGCTTACAACAATTCTGCAAAGATGAGTGGGCCAAAATTCCTCCACAGCGCTGTAAAAGACTCATGGCAAGTTATCGAAAACGCTTGATTGCAGTTGTTGCTGCTAAGGGTGGCCCAACCAGTTATTAGGTTTAGGGGGCAAACACTTGTTCACACAGGGCTATATAGTTTTGGATTTTGTTTTCCCTTAATAATAAAAACCTTCATTTAAAAACTGCATGATGTGTTTACTTGTGTTATCTTTGACTAATATATAAATTAGTTTGACGATCTGAAACATTACAGTGTGACAAACATGCAAAAAGATAAGAAATCAGTAAGGGGGCAAACACTTTTTCACACCACTGTACAGTAACCCAAGCTTCTATTAGTATAGGCGTAGCCCTCTAAACTGGCGGCCCTGCTGTCCCCCCCCCCGCCAGCTGAAGAAAAAGTGCTTTTTTTTTTTAGGGAGGCGAGTTTCGGTTACAGTGGCAGTTATACTGCTGCTGCGTACCTAATTGAGGACAGCCCAGTGCAGGGCACAGGGCGCGAAAGAATCTCTTCAGGACTGCGCATGTGCGAGGGATAAACCCAATAGCGACAGCTCTTAGAGAGCAGGGAAAAAGCACCCGGAAACACAGAGCCTAATACATTTATCAGTTTTGGGCTAACCCCTTACACAGATGAAGTCCGTCCCGCAGACTCCATCTCTTATCTAGAGCTCCACATTCTTGGAGCAGCTGCATATTACCTAGTCATAACAAAATGAGGTAGCTCAATGTGTGTGTATGCTGTATGCGTGATGTGTAACTAATCATTCATTCAGACATAATTCTTACACAAGATTAATACAAAAATAACTGGTGTCAAGGTACCCTTCTCAGAGTCAACATTATCTTCTAACCTTGAAAAAGAGCAGACTTTGAATCTTACTAAACTGCATTACTAACACAGATTAAAGTCTAATAATTATCTGACTGATTTGTTAATTTCTAACAATATACAGTGGCAAGATGTCAGTTTTCTTCCTCCTGAAGTCAACAATGACCTCCTTTGTCTTTGAGGTATTAAGGAGCAGGTTGTTCTCTCTGCACCACACTATCAGCCTCTCTACCTCATCCCTGTAGGCAGTCTCATCCTCACCAGCTCCATCTGAATGGTCCATATCAGTTTGTTTTTCACTTCTATCTTAATATTTCCAGCCTAGGGTGTAATCTTTTTTTTTTTTTTTATTGAAACAAAGTAACACATTAACAAAACAGGTCCGGACATGGGAGACAAGATAATGGATACATGACATTACAAAAAGATGTAGAGTGTTTTACAAGATCGTGGTGTGTGACGATGTGAAGTGTGGGTATTTCCAACTTATACAGTCTATGAAGCGCACGAAAGGGAAAAGGAGAGAAAAAGATTTAACAATAACAATGATAAGAATACAACTAATAAAAGCAGCTTGTTAAATTTTTAGAGGTTGGTGGGAATGTGCGTGGCCTCAGTCCCAAGTGCTTGGTTCAAGTTGAAATGTGTTAAAAATGGGTTCGTTGTGTCATTAAAAGCTCACTTAGCAGTTTTTCAGTAAACAGACAATATCTAAGGGCGTCTTTTACGTAGTGACGCAGGAAGCGTCATCTCGGCGTACTCGGCGTACTTACTACGTCATATCTTCCAGCTCAACCGCTGGTTCCTGGCCGGCTTAGGTAGCCGTGTCAGGCCCAACTCCTCTGTGAACCGTTATTCATGTTTTACCGCCATTCACCGGTTAAAAAAGCGGCTGCTCCGCTCAGCCTGTGTGGCGCTAAGGTCGGCATGAATAACTGAAGCAGCTGAAACACCGGGACTCGCTGTTAGGTTAGTGCTTGTTTGAGTTGTTGGTTTTGTGAGTTAAAGGGCTCCTCACAGGAAACGCTGAGTGACCTGATACGTTTCGTTTTCGGAATGAATCCCTGCAGTCAGTAAACTCTCTTTTCTGTGGTCTGTTCTGGTGTCTTCGTGTAAAGCTCAGAATTAAACTAGTGTTTTCTTTTTTTTTATTCCACCACAAGTAACTAATTATTAGCTTCATGGGAAATGACTTGTGATGGGAGCTTTGTTCCCGTGGAACCTCTGTACAGCTGCCCTGTTCTGTGTGTCTCCACCAGAAACACACAGGGACACTAGCACTGACATGTCCCTGACCTGCTTTATATCACTATAATGCAGGGCCAGGTTAACCTCCTAGAAGGACCAGGTACAAAAACAGCTGATTGGCCCTTATTAACCCCCATCATACAGAGTGTTAGAAGTTTGACATTTGTTCAATAAATCTGGAGTGAGATCATCAGTCCCCACCAGGCTAGCTGTGCATTACTGCCTGAGCTTTACTGGTGCTGCTCAAGTGATATTTTTTACCTCACAATCTTGTGTATAAGTGTAACACTTGGAAAACCTTGTTTGAGTTGAGAGTACGCAAAGAACATGATGAGCTGAAGTTAGGGACTGTCTCTGCATTGCATGCATTTTTCTCATGTTCTCTTCCATTACATATATGGCAGTTTCACTATTTTCCCAGTTGCCAAAAAACCCACTTCTGCTTTAGAACTGAAGTGATTAATTGATTAAACATTTACAACAACAATATTAGAGCATGTATCAGGCCATATATTTCTGGCCAAACCTGACCTATGCCAGAGAGTGTGGTGTCCAAACCCAACTTCGACCTAAAAGGCTTGTACTATACAGTATAATGTCTGAATCCGACCCAAGCTCCACACATTTTAGTTTGTGCAGTGATTTTCTCCTTATCAATAAATGAAGCAGACTTTTGAGTGCTTCAGCCGTCTAGCCTAAAGTTTGACATCCGTGTCCAAACCTGAACCAAACATAATTTCAAAATTTCTGTCTGAACCCGGCTCGATCACTCAGGTATTGATGGGTCCAGTCGGGCTCAGTTTAGGTATCCACGGTCTAAACAATGTGGATAATTCATTGTTTGGATGTTTAGTTAGGGAGAACACATGTTGTCAAGTCATTTCTGGGTCCCTTGAGGAGTGAGAAGTGAGGTGATGTAAAATAAGGTAATGAGAATAATAATCACCTTTATTTTTATTTTGGCCAAGTATGTTACACACAAGGAATATGTTTCCGGTACAGAACCGAGGCAGCCATCTGCTGTGCCACCTCACACTGATGGTGAGAAGTACTCAAGGTCAAGACCAGGGTCAAAAGAGGATGGGGGACTGGTCATATTTTATGTTCTACTGCAGTGGTGTAAATTAATAGCTAATTTGTAATTAATCAAATTATGGTATGTATATCCAAATGAAATGAATTAATGAGTAAACCTGGGGCTTTTAGGGCCCTGGTAGGTGCCTGCTTTGCCTGGTTGGTAATTCAGCCTTGGTCTAGTTTAATTAAATCAGACGCAGAGAGTTGACATCACTCGCATTTCTTCCTCTTTCACAATCGAACATCAATAAGTATTCATAAATTGTTTCCATCAGCAGCGACAGAAGTGAGGTGGAGCCTGAGGTGTGACAACCGTGGTGATGGTGTTGGACTCAGGTGAAATCTTCATGGATCAGGTAGAGGGTGAACACATTGGGAGCAGTGGGAACCTGTTAGAGGCAGATGTTGGAGCAGATTCACCAAAAACCATCAACAGCTTTGCTGCGACGCCCAAACTGCTGGCCAAAAGGAGCAATGTTGTTAGAAAGGAGAGGGTGTGCCACAATGGGGTTCCAGCCCAGATGAACAGCAGCCAGGTAGAGAGGAGGCCATCATCATTAAAAGGTGGGGCCACACCGAAACAGCAACTCCGCCGCCCTCTCAGCTTGGAGATGACACCACAGCGCCCGCGAGGGACTCAGCAGCAGATGACAGACAGGCGGATTGTGCAGCCTCCTTGGCGCAGTGGTTCAGCTGCCCCCTCTCCCCCGGCTCGCAGCCTGACCAGCCCCAGTTTGGGAGCAGGCAGCTGGATGCGCCGCAGTGAAAGCACCTGCTCGGTCAACTACTCCTTGGGGCTTCGGACCAGCAAAGGGCAAATGCGACCTGCTACCTCCCTTCCACACATAGCTAAAGGGCTGGGGGGCACAACACAGCCTACACCCTCCAGGCCCTGTCTGCTTGTCGCCCTCAGACCTCTAAACTTGGAAGAGGAGAAGCAGGCTTTCTTCCAGTCTGACTACAAGTATGAGCCTCAGTTTGAGTATGCGCAGCCTGAGCCGAACAGTGTGCTGGAGAAGTATAGGGAGGGTTCAGGCCTCTTCCTTGAACAGGTAAGTCATAATCACACATTTAAGAATCATCCTCTAAGTTATTATGATGATGATCATGGTGACTCTCCTTTCTGCCTGCAGGCGGTTGGAATCATGGAGTGCATCCTGAAGAAGTTTGGCTCATATGAGAACTTTGAGGAGGTGACAGGCGGCTGTGTCCTCCCCAAAAGTCAGGTCTGGGCTGCTGTACGCAAATATCTGCAGAAAGAAGGCTGTGTGGGAGAGGTGAGTGCAGTGAGAAACATGCAGCACATACAGAGACAAATCACCTGTAAGCAACTCACAGATTATATAGTGAGATCATTAGTCCCCACCCAAAAACTCTGCACAGCTTTTTGTAACACCATGAGAGCAACAACTGGAAATTAACAAGTATATGATTGGCCAGTGCAAAATGCTGCTTAGTCAGGCTCCGCTGTCAACTCAGCATTTTTTTTTATTATTTGGGTACCCTCTGTGTTAGCAGCCCAGTGTGCCACTGCAGCTGCTCCATTAAAATGAATTGAGTGTGAATAAATGTATTGAAAATGGTGTAGAAACATATATTCTTGGGATGCAAAATAGATTATTTTCATTGGTTAACATAATATATTATAATCTGATAAAATCTAGTATTCTTTAATCATTTCCTGTGTAAAATTTAAATAATTATAATAAATCTCAATCTTAAATGAACTCAATCCAAACTGATTCTTTAATTGTACAAACCTGAGGTCCCAGCATTTAAATGATATACAGGTAATTTACAGAACATTTACCTGCAGGCAATTTGGTGTCACTTAACTTAAAACGGCACTAAACTGCAGCCAAGTGAAATTTAACAAAATACATTTACTCAAATACATTATTTAAGGTACTTACACATTTTTAAACATTTTATACTTATTACTTCTACTTCACTACATTTCAGTGGGAAACATTGTACCTTTTACAATACCTACGGTTTCATTTACACACAGACAGGTAACTGATTAAAGGACAAACCAACATAAAGTGTGTTGGTAAATTACTGGGCCACCACATGCCATCAGAACAGACTCAGTGCATCTTAGCATTGATGCTACAAGTGGACTCTACTGGAGGGATGAACACCATTCTTCCAACAGATATTCCCTGGGTCTAGCATGTCACGCTAAAACCTCCCATAGGCATTCAGCTGGGTTGAGATCTGGTGACTGTGAAGGCCATAGCATATGAGTCACATTATTTTCATACTCATCAAACCATCCAGTGAGCCATTGTGCCCATGGAGGCACTGCCATCCTGGAAGAGACCAGTCATTTTAGCAGTCAGTGATTTAATTTCAGACATCTGACACCCAGTTCCCCAATGACTACTGTCCAAGTGAACATACTGTACTGCACTTTGAGATGAGCTGTTTGAGATGCTGACAGCTAAGCAGAGTCAGAAGTTTAAATAAACTGGAACTTGCTGGGTTATAAAAACTCAGCTGTGTGTCAATTTGGACCCAACTGTTTGGCCGAAGTGAAGGTAGTTAAACTAGACGCATGATGATGCCTCATTTGGCAAGGCAAGTTTATTTATATAGCATGTTTTCAAAAGCAACGGCAATTCAAATTGCTTAACGCAGTGCACACGGAAAGATAAAACATTAAAATGCTTTGTTTTATCTATATACTGCATGCATTTTAATATTTAATCTTTTCGTGTGTGCACTGCATTGAGCAATTTGAATTGCCATTGCTTATGAAAACGTGCTATATAAATAAGCTTGCCTTGTCAAATGAGGCATCATCATACATCTAGTTTAACTGCCATCACTTTGACCATTATATTTTGTACCCCTTTACTTCAGTCTTCCCAAGACTAAGGTCTTTACAATTTACATCAGAGATGGGCGTACTTTCTTCTGAAATTTTTCAAACATTGGTGTCTATATAGTCTCCCAGACAGTACAATGAAATCAGTTGGTCATTGATAAATGGATGAAAATTTTAAGTAAAAATAAAAGCATATAAAGTGCAATACTGGGTGAAATTAAGAAACATTAATTAAAAGTAGCAGAAGAAAGAACACTTTTTAGCTTAGTTTTAAAAGTGGCTCCAGTTGGGGCAGAGCTAAGTTCTAATGGAAGCTGGTGGGCAGCATCATGGTTAAAAGTATTAGGAGTCTAAGGAGTCTTAGAATCGATTCTTGTGCCACACAGTACCTCCTATCCCCTGTCTTCTAGATATGATCTGAGCCACCAATAGTTTTCCATTCTGCCGAGAAGTAATTAATGATCCACAGTGGCAAATGCTGCATTAAGATCTAATAACATCAAGATTAAGTTCCCTGAGTCATTATTCAAAATCTATACGAGAACAGTTTCAGTGCTGTGGTATGACCAGAAACCTGATTGAAATCTGTCAAGGATATCATTTGTTTGCAAGAAGTGTTGATTTTGTTAAAAGCTACTTTCTCAATAATCTTACTCATGAAGGGAAGATTTGAGATGTTACTTAATACTGAAGTATCCAGGTTTCTTTTTTTCAGGAGGGGCCTTGTAAGTGCAGTTTTTAATGATGCTGGAAAGAAGGTTGTAGCTTTCTGAGTCTATGACAATCAAAGTCCCAATTATTTAAGTGCCTAGTAGCCATTGTCCATAGGTTTTTATTAAGAAAACCCGAGGATATCAGTAGAAAAAACAAGCCAGGCTGAGAGCAAACAATAAAAGCGTCTGCACTGTAGCAAAGCATTAAGTAACTTTGCATAATTTTTGCACTACACACTTGAAATATTTTATCATTTTGGGCCCTGTGTTTTATGCTTTCTATAATCATGTGATCCTGTGAGGAACAGCACCTTATTGTGCTGCACACATGTTATATTTGACGTACACAGATGTAGTTGGAAGGTGAACAAATATGAACTTGTTAAGAATCCAGCTGACCAGGATGTTCATGTTTGCTCAGTCACCACAGAAGAACTATGTCATCACAATGCACTGTTTGTGCAAAATCACTGTTTGCTAACATGGCAAAAATCTAAAAATGACATTATAGAAGAAATGTCCTCTATAGAGGAGGAGGTGATGATGATGATGATGATATGTGTGTCTCCAGGTTGTGGTGCGTCTCTCTGATGAGCTGCTGTCTCAGGCAGTGATGGTGGTGGAGAGTTGTCGTCCCACACTGACCATCAACCTGGCCGGAGCTCGACAGCACTGGCTGGAGGGGATGCTGAGACATGAGATAGGTGCGCTGCTATTAACACAGGGCCACAAAGTGTCTGATTTTGGATTCATGATGCAACACAATGCTAACACGAGAGGCTGTAGTATTGATTGTAAACCAGCTTGTAGACTTTTTAGTTGCTGGAATTTGTTAAAGTGGCATCTCATTGTCTAGGGCTAAACTGGTTTGAATCCTGTTTGAAGGACAGGGGCTACTTTGTGTCAATTGGCAATTACACATCTGAGCATAGAAAATAATATGGAGTTCCCCAAGGCTCCATTTTTGGGTCTTTCCTGTTCGATATCTGTTGTCCCATACAGGTGCTGAGGGGGTTCACTGAACAATCAATGATTGGATATGCCACAGTTTTCTATAATTTAACAAAAGTGAAATAATTGTTTCTTGAGCCAAGTTAAAAAAATAAGTTTTGCTAATATTAAAAGTCACAAAGCAGGCCAGAAATCCTGGTGTGGTCATAGACTTAAACTTAAATTTTAATATTCACATTAATCACAAAAATCAGCCTACTATCACTCGAAGAAAATGTACAGTATGTCAAGAATTAGGATTTAGTATACACTCAGTTGCCAGTTTATCATGTGTACTGAGCTAAAACTGATGCAGTATGTTGTGTTGTCTGCTGCTTGTGTTTCAGAGAGGTGCTGGTTAAGTTATATGGTCATTTAGAGGCTGCAGTCCATGCTGCTGTTGAACTGTACTGCATTATACTAACAGGTGTCTCAGCAGGACTTATTAGGGTCTCTCTAAGACCAAAAAGACTAAAATGTAGACCACATTAACCCAGTTTTTTTTATCTTTACACTGTTTGTCAGAGAATGTTTTTGTTTAAAATTCCCATGCTGATTTTTATAAAACTAGACCTAGACCAAGTCTCAACCTCTCATGTCATATAGACCACCATAATGTGCCCAAAGTCAAGGTCTGCTCCAAGTCAGTTCTTTTAAATTTGAGCTGAAGCCTTTTGTTTGCCACTGCATTTTATTATATTTAATTTGGAATTATTTTATTTATATCATGCGCTGTAACTTCTGGTCTCCTGTTTTATTCTCATTTATCTTATTTTTATCCTCCATTTAATTTGACCTTTTTAAGATCTTTTCAAATTTGTCTTTTTATGTTGTGCTTCTTGTCTTAATGCCTTTTGTGTTAAATGTAATGCACTTTGAATTGAACAGCTGTTGAAAGGTTATGAACTTGTGGTTGTAAACTGCAGTGTTGTTTGGACTGTAGTCACTTTGACTGATTCAGTGACGTTTCTCCCCTCAGGCACACATTATCTGCGAGGTGTCAACAACAGTCTGCAGCCATGGGCCACCACTGAAGGCAGGAAGCAGTTTGGCCTTAAACCTGCCAATCCCACAGAGGAGGGTCTGGCCAGCCTGCACAGTGTGCTGCTACGAAAACAGCCCTACCTTTGGCGTGCGGCCCTGCTGTACTACACAGTGTACCACGCCACTAGCATGAGTTTCAGCCAGCTCTTCAGTCACATCGCCCGCTTTGTGCAAGACCCAGACATCCGTTGGGAATACTGTTTGAGAGCCAAGAGGGGACAGACGGATACCTCACAGCCTGGTGAACAAACAGACATTCACAATTTCCTTTACTACCTTTCCTTTAGGAGACTATTGAGTGTAAATACAACTATAGATTTAGAGTATTTTTTTAAGTTGTTTTTACCTACACATTGTCCAGAGGAGGTACAGTACTATTTTGCCAGCCCAGCATTCCCCCTCTCAGGCTGCAAGTACAGACAAGTGATAAATTAAAGGACAAACCAACATAAAGTATCTTAGTAAGGCGTTGGGCCACCAGAACAGCTTCAGTGTGACTTGTCATTGACTCTACAAGTCTCTGAACTCTACTGGAGGGATGAACACCATTCTTCCACCAGATATTCCCTCATTTGGTGTTTAATAATGGTGGTGGAGACGTTGTCTAACACATCAGTCCAAAAGCTTCCATGGATGTTCAGCTGGGTGGAGGCTATAGCATATGAGTCGCACCATTTTCATACTCATCAAACCATTCAGTGAACCCTTGTGTCCTGTGGATGGGGGCACTGTCATCCTGGAAAAGACCACTCCCATCAGGATAGAAATGTTTCATCATAGGATAAAGGTGATCACTCACAACAACTTTGTGTTCATTTGCAGTGACTCTTGGGACAAGTGAATCCAAACAATGCCAGTATTTGCATTTGTTATGTTTCTTCACTCTTTTATTCAGGTTTTCCTTTTGTCACCCGTCTGTATCTACTTGTAGCTGACAGGTGAAACCCAGAGCAATGAGAGTCAGAAAACCACCTGGTGTCACTCATAGTGCATTACTGTTAGCACACCATAATAACTGAAAACAACCTTGATGAGTTTATGAGCTCCTCTTTTCTGTCATCTGGATTATAACAGCTGGACAGTAAGAAGAGTATTTAAAGAGATTTTAGTGACTCAATCTAAGTGAGTAAACTGTAAAAGTGGAAGTTACACCTCCAAAAAACCAAAAGCAGTTATACTATAGAATAGCTCAGTTTTACAGAAAGATGAAATACAGCCCAGATATGTTCTGTTTCTATTATTATATGATGTGTTTTTCTGTCTCAGGTTGCTTCAGTAAAGATCAGGTTTATCTGGACGGCGTCCTCCGAATTCTTCGGCATCGAAGGACCATCGACTTCAAAATGCTGACATCTCTAGGCAAGGTCAGTGTCACTGCCTTTGTGTTTACATGCAAAAATAAGCGAGTAAACCTTTATTTCTATGCCACTTTTTAAAACCAGCGTTACAAGGTGTTTCACAGTGGCACAAAACATACAAGATACATACAAGGCACAAAATATAACAAGAATTCCTGAGAATGGCCAAACACAGAGAAATTCAACAAAAGGTAAAGAACAATATAGACCTATTGTAAGGTACAGAAAGTCAAAACTAAATAATGTAAATGTCTCGTTCACTGAAAGAAGTATTATAACCAAACTACAGACATTGTCACAGATTCAAAAAAGGGAAACAGATGCAGAAGGGTTTTCTGAGCTCAGTGTCATATTTGCAGCCTCAGGCCCCCTTGAGGTAAGAAAGAGGAAACACTATCACACAACAGCTGTGGCTGCACATACGGATCAGGTGACAGGGTTTCTGATGAGAGCCAGAACATCCTGATCACTGAGTTTTCAAACTTTATCAATGAAAGAATGAAGTCACAGTGAAGACAAACCTGCTATTAGTCATGTTGTCTCGTTACTGAACTTGGATCAGAAATGTCTGTTATTGCTGACTAGATGATGAAGGGATGCTTTTTTCTCCCAGGAAGCTAGATACACTGTCTCAAACAGTTTAACTGCCTGATGTATTAAAATGTTTGGAAAGACAAAGGAAAAAGGTGAAATTTTCTTTCCTTTTGATTACTGTCAAAATGCTGCAACGTATTCAGTGTAAAAACTGTGGTTTAATTTTGTATGATACCATCTGCAAAACTAAAGAACAGTACTTGAGTAAAGCCACTTAGTTACATCGGACCACTGTTAGCCAGTAGGTGTTTGCCTTTGTCCCCACTAGTCAGTTGTCTTCTTTACCACTGCAGGTGTCTTATGAAGACGTGGAGAGGCTGCGCCACCTGGCTGTGCTCTCCAGAACCAGAATCCCACACTTCATGCGAGACCAGGAGCGGTACCTGCAACATCTGGATCACATTGTCGCCATCAATGAGCTGGACGATTCAACGCTACAGCACCTGCTGCCTTGACCATCCCTGCATCACCTGAAGCCAAGAAGAACTGAAGGAGGCTGGTACAGTGACTGTGTCATGTGGCACCCTGAATATCCCTCAATATCCAGTATTGCCAATGCTTTATTTGAGCAATTTTGTAAAACTTGAATGATACAAACGAAAGGGACTTACACACTAACACCTCTCTCTACATTTTCACCTTTATCCAATCCATGTGTGTAGCTTACTGAGAGCTAAGTACAGTTCAAGTGCCCCTGCTCCCCGCTTTTACTCCCACTGTGTTACCTCAATCATGTAATCAACATTATAAATGTAGACCCATAGATAATCACTGCGCCCAACATGCATATAGGTCACCGTGGGCGTTTACATATTTAAACACGCATAATCACAGGCTTTATTTATGCAACTATTTGTTTTTGTTTTTACTGTAAGAGAACAAACTGAATGTTTCTGGTATTAGCTTTATACCTTCTTTTTTAAAGACAGTATTATTTTATGCCTTAGATTGTTTCAGAAAGGACACCAAGGACACTTTGAAAACCCCTGGGTGGGACAGTGGTTGCTGTGGCCACCATTCCTTAAATTATCAAGTGCCAGTGGACTCAGCCAAGTATTTAAATACTCCCCAGAGGTTTTCTAATATTTGTGTTAAGATAATCAGTGGTGTTTCTGTCTTAATAGTGACCTTGGTGGTCTTTGGATGTCATCATGCTACTGTGACGTGACCGTCCCCGAGCTACCCCCCGCGCACTAACCAAACTTTCTTTTGCAAAGTTAAAGGAATAGTTTGACATTTTGGGACATTTACAAACATTTTCTTCCTTGCGGAAATTGAAATGAAGATTAACACATCTGTCGTGTCTGTACACTCAATATGTAGCTGGAGTATAACTTCTGAGTGGCAGTGGTGGAAAGTAGCTAATACATTTGCAGTATCTGGTTTTTGAGTAATTTTGAGGTATCTGTTCTGTATTTGAGTATTACCATGTCCTGCTATGTCATACTTTGACTTCCCTACATTATATTTTACTCCACTATATTTATTTATTTTTAGTTACCAGTTAATTTTCATAATTAGATTAATAATACAACATACACTGTAATCATAAGACTGATTTCTGGTGGAAAATTCATAAGCTACCCAGCAGCATGTTAAGTCATTCACATTATAATCATATAAGCTTGTTAAAAATAGCTCCACCTTTACCAGCTGCAACATTAAATGTGATGTGCACAATAATACATCAATAATTATAATCCAATAATATATGTATTCATGTGTAACGTGCCAGTCTACATAATGAGTACTTGATAATACTTTTGTACTTTCAACTTAACATTTTTATGCAGGACTTTTACAGAGTATTTTTACACTGTGCTGTTGCTCGTTTTACAAAGGTAAAGAATGAGTACTTCTTCCACCACCACTTCCCAAATGTAAAAACTGTTTGCTAAAGTTCTATAAGAGTGCTGTGTAAGACTGGAAGGCTTCACCTGGCAAACTGCTGATTACCCTCTTGAAGGGGTTATGTGCAAATGAAAATGGCAAATTTATGTTTAAACATTTGCTAAAATGTCCAACTATTCCCTTAACATGTAAATAAAGTGCCAACGTGGTGTTTTTAATACACCGTTGGGCTATTTGTGAAGCAGCCGACCTCAACTACCGTAGTTCCTCACTCAAACGTGTCACTGGCTGAGGTGGAAGTAGGGGTGCTGTGGGCGTGCCTTTGATGGGTGTAGAGCTCATCTGCTGTAGTGCAGCGTGCGTCTGTCGTGTGTTTCTAGGCTGCTTTTTACTGTGTTTAGCACTTAACACTTAAGATGTCAGTCAGGTCATCTGCTTTGGGACCAGCCCCCTATGACCAGAATTAGCACTGGCAAACTGAAAAACCAGGTCACAACAAAAGTGGTGCAGGTTGACCAGCATTACAGCTGGTTCAGTAGTCCGACACTTGATCAAGATGGGAACTCCATTCTAGGATGCATTTAAAATACTTGGATTTTAAGGTTAACATGTAATTGACATTTACTCTGCGGTGTTTACAATTGTAGCTACTTCATAAGCAGATGTTTTAAATTTGAGCTCAGCCCAGACTCACTTATACAAATGCACCTATTTGTAATGCACGAATGTTGCACAAGTGTTTTATGTTCTGGAAAACACCTTGTCATTTAAGTTTATTTATTAAAAGTAAACACATGTGACCTCTCGTGTTTGTTTCATGACGCACCACAACAACACACTACCAACCTGGCCGTAGTTCATTACCTACATAGAGCTTACTTGAGAACTGTGGGGGTTCATGTTCCCTTCAGTACCAAAGTAATCCAGTGACAGTTGTCTGTGCATCCATGGTTACAGTGCAAAGAAGTACTACTACAGCTCACCAGGCATGTAACAAAATACAAATGTATGATAAAGGAAAAGGTCTCAAGTTGGAGCCCAGGGGCCTATTTCAAGAAGGCGGTTTTGTCGAAACTCAGTTTGTTAACCCCGAAATGAGGGCAACTCGGAGTTTTCGGTTTCAGAAACGGAGGTAACTTAAACCCGTGAAGCGGGGTAAGTTAAACCCGTTTCACAAAGAGAGGTAATCTAAACTCAGAGTCAGTTACTA